GATCTCTCTCTCTCTTTCTCTCTTTCTACTCATACCTCCTCGTTTATCTCCCTATATATCATCTCCAAGACCATGCTTTGATCCGATCATGGCCCCTCCTCCCCCTTTCCCCTCGTCTTCGCCCTTCGCCCTTGTCGTCCCAACTTCGTCATGCAAGACCAACGGCCCGAGGTTCTCACCGTCTCCATTGTCTTCTTCGTCATCGCAACTGTCTTCGTGGCCCTGCGCTTCATCTCCCGCATCTTTATTGTCCAGAAGGTCGCCCTCCATGATTATTTGATGCTCCTGGCCTGGGTACCTCCTCTTTTCCTCTTCCCCCCTCTCTCATCTCTCTAGTCAGCTCCTCATTCTCCGATCTTCCCGCAGGTCCTCGACTTCGGCTTTTCCTTCTCCCTCTTCTACGCCACCCACAAAGGTCTGGGTCTCCACGATACCGACATTCGCGAAGACCAACGCGCCGGCCTCAATCGCGCCGACTATGCCTTCACCGTCCTCTACGTGAGTCGCCCGTGGACTCCTCCGCCCGTCGCTTCCCCTCTGACTGCCCCAGAACCCGGCCCTCATGGCCGACAAACCTCCATTCTGGTCTTCTACCTAACCCTCACCCAAGGCGAGAAGGTCTTTCGCTTGGCCAACTACGTGACTCTCTTCGTCGTCAATGCCGCCGGACTCGCCTTGACCCTCGTGAATGTCTTCCAATGCCGTCCCGTCAGCGCGGCCGTTTCCTATCCCTTTCCCGAGGGTGCCAAGTGCATCGACATCCTGACCCTATACCTATCCTCGTCGCCCGTCAACATTGTGACCGACTTGGCCATTCTCTTCCTGCCCAATCCCATCCTGACGCAAATGCGACTGCCGCGCAAGCAAAAGATCATCCTCGTCATCACCTTCAGTTTTGGTTTCTTTGTCGCCGTCGTCGATGTCATCCGCATTGCCTACATCCAGGATGCGGCCACCTCCCGTCAGATCGCGTTGAGAGAGGTCCATCTGCAGGATACCCCGGGTGATGACCTCAGCTGTACGTCCCCTGTCCTTTCTTTCTCCCTATCTTCCTGCTGATCGCCCCCAGGGTACGGGGCGTTTTCATTTATGTGGTCCGTCATCGAAGTCAACGTTTCCGTCATCTGTGCCTGTGTGCCCAGTCTCAAGCCGCTTGTCGCGCGACTCATCCCGAAGCTGATCCGTGACACTGACGGGAGCTCCCAGGCCACCGACCTTCCCCTGCCCGCTCCCGATCCACCCCCTGAGATTCCGACCGTCACCGGGCCTCCTACTGCCCGGCGCGCGTCGCGCTCACCACAGTCCGCCAGCCAGGACAATAAGCCGTCGCATTCGGAGAGCCACAGCAGTCATGCGGCCTCGGCCCGGGTTGACCTCTCCGATATGTTGACCAGCGCGCCCGAGGCGCCTCCGGATGTCGAGAACCGGACGAACACCGTCACCACAACCACGTCGTATCCGCCCAGCATCACCTTCTTCGACTTCGTCAATATGAAGAAGCCGGCCAACATGCTGAAGCTGAGCAATAAGGAGTCCATTGCCCCGATCGCGCTGACCACCATCTTGTTCTTCCTCTGGGGCTTTGCATACGGCTTGCTGGCTATCCTGAACGAGCAGATTCAGGATATCCTGGGCCTGGACGTCTGGCAGTCATTTGGTCTGCATGCGGTGTACTTTGGGGGGTATCTGGTGGCGCCAGCGTTTGTGGGGGGCGTCGTGCTGAAGCGCTGGGGGTTCAAGTGCACCTTTATCACTGGGCTGTGCATTTATGCCTGCGGCACTCTGGTCTTCTGGCCGTCAGCCGTGCTGACTTCGTACCCTGGTTTCATCGTGTCCAATTTCATTGTGGGCAGTGGACTGGCGGTGCTGGAGACGGCCGCCAATCCGTTCATTGCGCTATGCGGACCACTCGAAAACTCGGAGATTCGGCTGAACATCTCGCAGGGCGTGCAGGCAATTGGCAGCGTCGTCTCGCAGCTACTGGCCAAGAAGGTGCTGTTCAAATCTGTGACCGATGTGAGTACTCTGGTCGATGTGCAGTGGACATATTTGGGCATCGCACTGTTCGACGTACTCCTCGCTCTCGCTTTCTATTATCTGCCTATCCCCGAGGCATCGGACGAGGATCTGGAGGAACTGGCCAACCGCCGCCGCGCCGACAACCGCGCCACCGTCGCTGGCATCCCCGTGGTTTGGCTGACACTGGGCCTCGGCGTCTGGTCTCAGTTTTTCTACGTGGCCGGCCAAGAAGTGATATCGATGAGCTTCGACAGCTATGTCCGCACCGTGCACCCACTGTCCTATCTCAGTCCCTTTGAACAGCTCACGGTCGCACACACGGTGTTCGCGGTCGGCCGCTTCCTCGCCGCCTTCGTCCAATGGTTCCTCAAACCCCGCTGGATACTTATGCTCTCTTACATCGGCATGATCGTCTTCTCCGTCCTGTGCATGAAAATGACCGGACGAGCCGCTGAAGCCATGGCTCTCATGGTGTACCTGTTCGAGAGCGGCGTATTCAGTATCATTTTTGCCATCTCGCTGCGCGGCACCGGTCGACACACCAAGACCGCGACCGTACTGCTCACGGTGGCCATCGGCGGCGGCGCCTTCTTCCCATTCGCGCAATACGCAGCCGAGCTGGCAGGCGGCATCCGCTATTCCTACTGCGTGCTGGTGGCGCTGTTCAGTGCGGGCGCCATCTTCCCCATCTACCTCAACGTAGTGCCGGCAGCCAAGAAGCAGGTGGACCCGGTACCGAACGAGCACCTGCGACATCCCCGCCGGCGCAGTCGCATCAAAGCCAACGTGATGGCGCGCGAAAAGGAGAACCCATCGGTGGGTGGGGTGCTCTCGCGCCGGCGCAGCGTAGTGTCGGAGCCGTTGCCGACGGTGCAGCTGGCGGACCACACGAAGCAGACGTCGGGGGGATTGATGCATGAATTGGCGCCATGGCCAGAGCAGCGCGGGGAGCGTGCGGTGCAGACAGATTAAGTTATTCTTTCTGCTCTTTGTTTTGTTTCTTTCTTTCTTCCTTTCTTTCTTTCTATTTCTTGATTATATCTCTACGGGAGGATATTTGCCATGATACCCATTATTTTGGATTGGAACGTGTTTTAGCGTGGAGTTGGCTGATTGCATTGCTGGAGTACTGTACATATATACCTACATACGTAACTACTTGATTTTCTACAAGGGTTGACGGCCTTCCCTTTCCGTTTTGGTGCTCACCCCTCAAACCCGGCACTGCCATCAAGAAAGAGACGAGTAGGTCGAGCTACTATTCCTTCTGATGCCCACGGCCTTGTTCCCGGGTAGGACTCTGCTGGAGGTGATCGTGCTGCGCCAACACGGCCAATAATTTTTGGCGGGCTTTCTCGGTCAGACCTGGGGACCTGACAACCCGATCGGGTTTGCGGGGGACCCTTTCTGGACATACATATACAGAGTACATACATGTAAGAGAATCACGTGAGTTGTAAATCACTAGGACAACTCGTGCATCTCCAACACCACAATCCTGCCTCCGAACAGGATCCCAACCGCCAGACATGGAAAAGCAAGAACTCCAGACATCGTTCCTCAGAAAATATTTCAAATCCTCTACAAAACTCTCCCAGCTTCCCATCGAGGAACAGGTAGCCCTGTTCCGCGAAGCGATCAGCCAAAATGCCACGTTGACCAAGATCCTCAGCCAAGCTTTGGATTTAGACCTCCCCGAGTGGTACTTGGCCTCTGGATGCATTTTCCAAACGGTCTGGAATGTTTTGACCGGACGAGACCCCGAAGCCGGCATCGCGGACTATGACCTAGTCTACTACGACAAAAGCGATATCTCCTGGGCGGCAGAAGACGCTGCAATCCAAAAGGGCCAGAAGATATTTACGGGCGATAATAACAATAACAATAATTCCTCGTCTACTTCTACTACTACTACTACTACTACTACTACCCCCGTTGAGATCCGCAACCAGGCCCGCGTCCACCTGTGGTACAAGGAAAACCGCGGAATCGACTGCCCACAACACGCGTCCGCAGAGGCCGCAATCGCCACTTTCCCAACCACCACTGCCTCCCTGGGAGTCCGCTTACTGCCTAACGGGGATTGGCGCATCTTTGCCCCGCACGGCTTTGCGGACTTGTTTGATCTGATCGTGCGCCCTAACCCGGTGCTTACGCCGCCGCATGTGTACAAGGCCAAATCAGAGCGATGGCAGCGTCAGTGGCCGGGGCTTACCGTCTTGCCTTGGCCGGAAGCGGAAGTGGAAAGCTCCGGGCAAGAAGAGGCAGGCGTGGGACTTGCATCGGGAGTGTACATCGCTCCGCGGCTCGCACCTTGACGGCGCTTTTCGCCTGCTTGGAGATACAAAGTACCTGTGAATAGCCGGCGCTTCCGAGGCGGTTGCGAGCATTGAAAGTGGCTGTTGTGGAATTTGCTGCAGGAACTGCAATGCAGGGAGGGATGGAACCATGAAAGTATTTAGATTCTAGCCGCGGTGCTATGCAAAAAGTAACCGATAGAGGTTTAGATCATGCATATGAGAGATGGGAATGCGGTATATCAGCTGTTGACATCGCACAAAAACCCCAAGTGCCAGATTGACGCTTCCCAATATATCTTGATACAATTCCTCGTGTTTACTGAGCCTTTTTAATACAGTAATATAAAATGTACATCGTCAAGGATATGTGTGGATGTAAATCACTAGCCTCGGCGCGCATGGGGGATCACTGCTGGTGGAACCAGCCACATGGTTTGTTTTGCAGAGGGTCGAACCGAGCTGGGAGGACACAGTGGGTGACAAATAATATATGGCTGGGACGATTATCGCAAGGTTGCTAACCCTGAGCGTCATATTTCTAGACCGCGCCACCATATTGAATGCGAAACCTTGACCTTCGAATCCAGCCACCAACTATGTGTCTTTTTAGGCTCTAAAGCAATCTGCCTTGTACGGCCCGTCTACGTATCTCCTGGTTGGGAGTCCCAATATGGGATAACCGAGATAAATAGCAGATCGAAGGAGACTTTTTGAAAACCTCCAGCTTCCACATGGCGTACGTACAGGAGGCATCCTCAAATGAAGCTCGTAAAAGGGCGTGCCCTTGTCCTGTATGGGGAAATTCCTTGTAGAGCTACGTACCAAGTTCTTGGTCCTGTGAAACTTCGATTGAAAACACATTGGAAAGCTAAACAGCTACACCTTTCCCCTTGATAGTATGTCAACCAGAAGCGCTGGAAATGACCGGCATCGTCACGTAGTTTCCAAGATCAACCCCGAACCTAATCTCATTCCTCCCACCGAATACCCGTTCATCGCGGTCCTTCGGGTGGTCATGGGTGAATATCCCGCTTCCCTGAGTGTCCGCACCAGCTATCTCAAAGACCAGTCTATTCCCGGGACTGACGACCACATTGGTCGGCCAAATCTCGACTGTGACCTTGTAAACTTCGCCTGGTACAAGCGGCTCTACACTTGTGGAGGCATAGCTGCGGTATGGGAGATAGTCGCGGTGATATGCATGCGCCGTGTCCACCTTTCTGAGCGAGCAATGCAGAGCTGCTGTGCTTGGACGGTCTGTCATGGCCCCGTCCGGGAGGAGGTAGTATCGTGTATAGACTGTATTTGGCAAGGGCCATGATGGCTCCTCCCTTCGCTGGTAACCGCTTTCTTTGGCAACCATCGTTGAATCCAACATCTCCCTCCCTCAGCAAAATCGATACCGGTGGGATCTTGCCCGGTGTCGACCAGCCTCGATTGTCCTCTCCCTTGAGAAAGGCATCCAGAAACGATTTCTGCAGAGCGGCGTTTTCCCGGTAATAAAATGGAAGGTCGTGCCGTCCAGTAATGAAGTGGAGATATTTAGTCTCTGAGCCTGCATGAAAATAACCCTCGACGTTGCCGCGAAGGTGTAGAAGAATGCCGCCCTATATACCATCATGCTCGGCGTCAATTTCAGCTCATATTCCAAGGAAGTGAAGGGAGCGCACCCAGTTCGCCACGCTTAGAAGTGGTACTTTAATATCCTCCAGACAATAGTCCCGGGAAGCATAGTACTCCTCGTCCAGGTACTTATGTTCGACATTATCGACGCGCTGATCTCGCAGGTTGCGCTGCAGCTCCTCCTCCGGAAGTGTCCCCTCGATAGTCGGCGGTATTTTGGGATTCGATCGGGGGCGCCCGTACTGGTTGACAACGACCTGGCCGCGCCACCATATATCTAGGACAGGTTAATTTTAGCCATTGCATTAAAATAGAGAGAACAAAACCATTACGTACCAATGAAATTGTTTGATAGGATGCCACCATGCCTGCAGCGGTCGCGATAGTAGTCCGACATCCCCTCCCAAGGTATGATGGCCGCCAACCCCTTGGGATTCCTCGCAGCCACTCGCCACTGCGTCCCAGCGTAGTAGCTAATACCAAGAAGGCCAACCTTACCTGTGGACCACTTCTGCACCGCAGCCCATTCGACAACGTCGAAGAACGCGTCGCTGGTCCCCTGGCTCATTGTATCCAGCAGTCCAGGGCTCTGCCCGATGCCTCGCTCATCTGCCCTAACAACAATGTACCCATTGCGAGTCCACCATGCTGGATCCAGCGTCTCCAAGCAGAATGAACGGATTTGTGGTCCGGGTTTACTTCATCAAACGTCGGCTTTCTGAAATCGCTGTACGCAATGTCTTTTCCATATGGTCCGTAAGTGACAATGACAGGGTATTTGACTCCGCTCTCGGTGTCATGGGGACGGTGGATATTTGCCCGGATTACTCCTGTCTTGTAGGTGCGTAAGGGGATGTCCACGTTCTGTTCGTAGATGTAGGGGAATGAGCTGTCGTCCCGGAAGGTGATACTGGAGGTCTGCTGTGACATCTTGCAGACATCAACGCGAGAGTGCTTTGGTCATGTTGTTGAAATTCAGCCCTCAGACGCGAACCGCACTAAACTATTGTCTATGGGGTTGCCTGAAAGCACCTTCAAGTTGTCTGGTACTCTCCCTACCCAAAATGACTGTCGGAGAACCAGCACGAGCCCAAGATCGCCATGCGGCATTAGCGTCGTCGATGGACAACGATCCAAAACCTCTATCTGTTATTGTTATCGGCGCGGGTATTGCTGGTCTAACTGCGGCTGCTGCACTGAGGAAGGCGGGCCACATTGTCCAGATGAGTACCAGGCATGTTGTCAAAGTACGGATACGGGTTACTGACAAACCCAGCACGTCTTCGAGCAGTCAAGTTTCGCAAACGAGTTGGGAGCAGCCATATATGCGAACTAGCTATGAAAGTGGTTAGTGCCTTCTTAATATTGATATTCCAAGAATATTGATGGACAGTAGATCGAACAGAAATGTAGACTCGAGATAAGTACTGACTACAACGATAGTACCCCCACTAGAACTACCTTATAGTACAGATTAAATAAAATCTACCCAATCACCTAGCAGGCCACCTCACCTCTTTCTCGCTATCTAGTTAGTATCTAGTAATCCAATGCTACAAGCCCAACTACCTTAAATACGTTATGCCTTAGTTTCTCTACTACTACCTTAATAGTCTTATATATACCCACTCAAGTGAGTATCCAATTGTCGAATCGAAGAACTCATAGATTCGATTCAGTATAAACTTGCCAACTACACGACCGTGCAATCCATACCAGTATTAGATGGATAAGTATATGCACTAGCTAAGCTATACCTACGTGATTTCATGAAGTGATCTCTTCCTTCCAGAACTGCTTTCCCAGTAGCTAATTCCTAGTTGATTAGGATGTATTAGGGAAGAACGGTATGTCAGAATGAGGACTGCGTGGTTTGTCTGCCACAGTGTGTCGATTTATTTGAGTATATGAATTAGGGTAATGCATGTGACTCGTGGGATTAGTGTATATGGTCAAGTCTAGATAGTTGTTTAAGATGCGATAGAGGGAAGATAACAGGCTAAGTACTAGTGAACTGCGGTCCCATGGGTTTGTGCATGTGCTCGGAATAGAGATGAATGCATCTGCAAATAGTGAAGATGCAAGGGTAGTTGACTACAGTTGTATTATCTACTATTGATACAACAAATTACAAGAATTTGAGGATTAAGAAAAGGATATCATTATGCATCCATCTAAACTAGCAAGAAAACACCGGCGCCTCTATCCATCGCGCTGAAAGGGAACATCAAACTACATAATCGTCATGACATAAGCCGCGGGGGTTTGCGGCTTTCCGCATTTACCACCAGTCACCCTGGTCCTTCATGGCGGCAGCCACCTTGGTGAAACCGGCAATGTTGGATCCGGTCACCAGGGAAGGCAGGACACCCTCAGCGGGGGTGGCGTACTCCTGAGCAGTCTCAAGACCGTTCTTGAAGCAGTCGCGCATGATGTCCTTAAGACGGGCATCAACCTCCTCAGAAGTCCAGCTGAGGCGGGCAGAGTTCTGAGCCATCTCCAGACCGGAGACAGCGACACCACCGGCGTTGGCGGCCTTACCGGGGGCGTACCAGATGGCAGCCGCGCCAGCGTTGGCGGTACGGTGGGCCTCGAAGGTGTCGATGGCCTCCTGGGTGCAACCCATGTTGGAACCCTCGGCGATGAACTTGCAGCCAGCGTTGATGAGGACCTGGGCCTCCTCGCCGGAAACTTCGTTCTGGGTAGCGGAGGGGAGAGCGACGTCGACCTTGCCGACGTGAACCCAGGGGCGGGCACCAGCAATGTACTTGAACTTGTTGGCGTCGCTGAAGGGAGCAGCACCGACGATGCTGGCGAGCTGCTTGCGCTCGACCTTGGTCTGAGCGATGAGCTCGATCTCCTCGGGGGTGAAGCTACCCTCGCCGTTGATGATGAGGGAGCCCTGGCTGTCGCTCAGGGAGACGACGGAACCGCCGAGCTCAATGACCTTGAGGGCGGCGTACTGGGCAACGTTACCGGAACCGGAGATGGCAACGCGCTTGCCCTTGAAGGACTCCTGGCCGTTGGTGGCGTGAGCAATCATGTGCTCGACGTACTGTTACGCGTTAGTCGCTGTTATACATAGATAATCATAAGAAGAGGAATTGACATACGTAGACAACACCGTAACCGGTGGCCTCAGGGCGGATGAGGGAACCACCCCAGCTGCCACCCTTACCGGTGAGAACACCCTCCCACTGGTTGCGGATCTTGCGGTACTGGCCGAAGAGGAAACCGACCTCACGACCGGTGACACCGATGTCACCAGCGGGAACATCAGTGTCGGCACCGATGTGCTTGCAGAGCTCGGTCATGAAGGAAACACAGAAGCGACGGATCTCGTTGTCGGACTTGCCCTTGGGGTCGAAGTCGGAACCACCCTTACCACCACCCATGTTCAGGCCAGTGAGAGCATTCTTGAAGATCTGCTCGAAACCAAGGAACTTGAGGATGGACAAGTTGACGGAGGGGTGGAAACGAAGACCACCCTTGTAGGGACCGAGGGCGCTGTTGAACTGGACACGGAAACCGCGGTTGACCTGGACGTTGCCGGCATCATCCTCCCAGACGACACGGAACTGGATGACACGCTCGGGGACGGAGACGACAGCAAGGGCCTTGCGGTATTCGGGGTTCTTCTGGAAGAGGGTGGAGTTCTCAAGGGTCGAGGCAAGCTCTGTAAGAGGATGTTGTTAGAATTTTTTTTCCATCATCAATTTCGGAGGGGCAATGGAACATACCCTTGTAGGCCTGCTCGAACTCGGGCTCGTGAGGAAGGTTAGACATTCTGAAGGGGAGGATTGATTGAGAGAACTTTTTTAACTGGGGTATCTAGGAAAACAGGAATATAGAGAAAAGATGAAAGAAAGAGAAGTAGTCTGAAGAAGAAAGAGAAAGGAGAGGGAGAAGAAGAAGAAGATGGCGAGGGGGAAAGGCCGATTTATGTTTTCGAGGAGGGGAGGGGCGAGAGCGGGGAGAAAGACAGAAGAGAGGGAAGAGGGTAGAGTGGATAGAGGGAGGAGAACAGCCGGAGTCGGACATAAAGTCCCCCCCTCAGGCCATCCACTGTACAGTAGTAGACTAGTAACTAGTATACTACACAGACGACACAGGCAACACAGACCACACTAGGGAGTCTCCGCTGCAGGCGGGCATTTCCTGGCACGCCCCAAACGGCAAATGAGGCCGGCTTCCGGGGCGGGTTTGGCGGTGGCGCCGAAGTTCGGGCTGTTAGTCGATAGTTTGAGGTCACAGAATCTGCCCGTTATCTATCGGCGGGAATCCGCTGGCCCGCCCGCCAATGGCAGTCGCCCGCTCTACTATCGGGAGGAATCGGGTGGCAATGGAAGTATTAGGGTAGGGTAGGGTAGGATAGGATTTTTTTTTGATTGCTTTCTCGAAGCGAGAGAGAAAATTCTTCTCTTGCTGGTACTATGAGCCATTGGTACACGCCAAACAGTCTTTTCTTGCTCGGAATCCATTAGGGAGTCCTACTAAGGATAAGCAATACGCCGTCGCAATCTAGAACCTGCTGAAATCTGGAGAGAAACTCGCATTTGCCCTGCACGCCAAGAGATCCTGCAGACTGGCGGATCACCTGACATCTCCCTTCCCATTGGCCTGGCTCCCCCCGCTGCACGGGAGGTGCTTATCAGATGTCCGGATTTCCTTTACCTACTCGTATCGTCAAATCCTCTGCACTCAGCCAATACAACCTCATCTTCACCCTATTTCCCCTTCCCAAATGTCTATCTCTCTTTCCCCTCCCCGGAGATCCTTACTCCGAAATTAGGACATATCCATGCTTACACAGACACGTTGCCTCTCTTCACTCCTTCCCCCATGTTCCCCGGTGAGCCCCGACGTGGGGGAATGGGCGGCAATCACGGTGATTCCCATACTTTTAGAGGATTGTCCCGGTCGGACACGGTTCACTGGGCGGTCTGATCATGCGACCACCATGGGGAGTTCACCGGTGAGCCTGGTTGAGTCTAAGTAGGTTTCTCATAGAGGGGGGAATACAGGATACACTTGGTTGCCAACCAGTCACGGTGTCACATCACTGTCCCATTAGATTTAATCCTTCTGCTGATGAATGCTTGGAGTCGTCTGTAGTAATTGTCGGGGACTTCTCTTGGATCTCTTGGAATTGGGAATAATTACCCCAGTCGCATGTGATAACTTGTAGTCAAATTAAATAAGCTGATGGGAGAATCAATCAAGATGGGAATTACTAAAATAATAAATAGACTTGAATTGAAATCTATTCTTTATTTAATTATGGTTATTCAAGACATTGAATGGAATGACCACGATGCTGTTACAGCAAAGTGGTAGTAGCGCGGTGTTGCCGTAGCATGTCAAAGTTTCCCGACCCAACATGGAGTGGAGCCAGTTTGCCTATCAGTTGCCTCGCTAATCCTTGCCGTGCTGCCCGGACCAATCAGCAGTTCACACTAACAAAGCATCACGATTCACACGCCGGCTCTTGCCCTCCCCACATCCCGGAATGCTAGTGAGAAGATCGCCAAGCGGGCTAATGCATCCTCCCCCAACTCTGATATACTTTGAGGGGCGCAGGTTGGTACGGATGCTTGATGGACCATGGACAGTACTCTAATTGGGTGGAAGTGAGATGGAAAAGTTAATTGTTCAATCATGAGGGCTGGTTGGGTTTGGAGGCGACTAGGTTCGGGAAGGTTTTAAGTGCCGGGGATGGTTTGCTAGTTGGCCTGATTCAGATCTGGGATGTGTTTTATGGTGTCTGGTTCAGATGAACTATTTGCTAGAATAGGGGTTGATGATGAAGAAATGTGACAGCTAACAGGATTAACTTTCTTGATCTGTTGTCTGTGCTGTGCTGCATGTGTATGTATTCATGGGTGAATCGTGAATCCGATTCCATCCGTAGTCACTCAATTCGGCAGTTGAATGCCTGACTCTTAGGGCATTCATCCGCCAGTCTACCAATGGACATGATGAATCCTAGACTATTTACTGCTTCAATTACCCTTTGTGATATTGAATATTCCAGTCAAGAAGAGGTATAAGTAGCTGCATTTCCCCTCCCAAGTTTCTCTTTTCATCTGCATCTCCCTCATGAATCGGACTCTATATATGATATCCTCAACCACAGAACGGATCGTCACCCTATAACCCTACTTTATATCCTCTTTATACTATCAGACTATACATACTGTGCTCCATCAACAGTACCCTATCATCTTCACCTTCTAACCTCGTCTTCCATATATCTAAAGACCTACGGAGACAGGCAGCCAGAGGAATGGAACACCCTGCCACAGTCGAGCGGGCCTCAACTAGACTCGCAAACAAGGCCAGAAGTGCAGTCTACATACGGCATATGGAACACCAATTCCTCCAGAGAATAACCTCGGTATGACCGAAGCACTTCTTCCTACTCGGCTCATCACCCTCTATCAAAATAGCCAAGTCTCCAACTAGCTCAAGGGAAAGCGTCGTTTTGAAGAATTGGAGGAATTGACATAAGTATATCGACTATGCCACGCATGCCTACTCCAAAGTTCACCATATTACTCTGGTATATATCATTAGCCTGTACCATGCTATGGACCGGTTGATAACAAAGACGACTAACGGGAAACAGAATGGTACGATGTACAAGCTAGCAACTCGCCACACTGATGAAGCTCAACTTGATCACACACAACTACGGGACTCTCGATTACTTGGGCTGTGGCTCTGCTGAGACAGTGGAATACAACTGCCAAGCATACTCGGATGGAAGGGGAACATTTCCCAGTTGATATCGGGAGCATCCAGGACATTCTAATGGAGATGCACGGCCTGTGGCAGATAAAGGAGTCATCCTGACAGCAAAGTCTCAACCCTAGCCACTGAAAATCTCGATGCCCGTCTTTACGCGGCGTGAAAACCCTATATAATCGTTCGTCATGGCTCCTACCAGGACATAAGTGGAAGACACTTTTTTCCCCTTTAATCGACCGCAAATGATACCAGGAACGAGTGACTCGTCATCCTATCTTATGTGGGAGTCTTTCTTAGACTACTTCCCACCATTATGGAGACTTGTCTGGCATCTGAATCCTTACCCGCGTTTCCTTCCATCAGTCCTTGTTCTTAATAATAATGGTAAGCCAGCAACGCCTCCAAACATGCCACCCTTCTGGATTCCCATTCGATAATAGCACCAATCTGCTTGCTGGGGAGCTGTCCTTCCATTCAAGATTCGAATTCTGAAGTCTCTCTCGCCTGACCCCCCAATATCCATCTATACCTCCAACACCGTGGTTCGATACCTTACGATGTGATTTTACCCTATATATTACTAGAAGGGCATACTGGCGTTTCAAACTGTCACAGATGATGCCTTGGAGAAAATACTCAACCCTAGGAAGAGCACATCATCCTCTGGGAGGCGAAAGACCACTGTCACTGATGATTTGGACAATCCTGAATCCTGTACGAGGTACAAAACCAGCCAAGACATTGGCTACAGCTTCAAAAATATCCAACAAACAACACTCGGGGTCAGATGGACACCCTCAAAAACCCACGTTTTGAATTCATTATGCTCTGCATGCGAGGACATAGAGCTGCTTAGAGAGACATAGCAATGCCTCTTCAAAGGGAGAATTCTTATCCACTGCTATAACCTATATATACGCACATGAAAGATATGTTCGAAGAGTATATCTTCCAGCAGCTAAACCATCTCAGACAAGTCAACTGTCTCCGAAGACCTCTTCAACTCATTGTATCGACGGCGCATACAGAGCGAGGTGCTTCGGGGGATCAATTATACAGTCTATACCTCAGCCGAGAGTTTATAGAGGATGAAGACCCTCCATCTTACGCCGGTAGACATTACCAACTCTACCAAGCCAGGACGATGCCTGCAAGTTGGACAGGGTGAACTGACTGCTATAAACGGGTTTCCCCGTATCAACGGATAACCCCAAAGATGTCCCGGCAACAGCCAGGGAAAAAAAACCCACCTCTCGCCCAAGAGCAGACCCTCGCTGGCTGGAAAATTCCGAAATTACAGCATCGACAACGGGATAACCCGGCATTTTCCGTTCAGCTAGTACACTGCCTTGCCCTATAAGTAGAGCATATCTTGGCAGCCCAGCCACCAGACACTACATGCCTTCGCGGGCCATCCCTCCACATGAGCGCTTATCCAGAGTAAATGGGATATTCCTGCCTCGCAGCATATCGGGGCTGCGCGCTTGGCGAAAGCTGAGTCTGAGGTTCTTCAACTGTCGAGGTTACTTGATCCGGCTAATGTGGAAGAGATCCCAAAAGGATGCATAAAAACACAAGGCTTTAGGTCACGGAAGGCTGAAAGGATCATGTTGAGCCTTTGAGAAATTGACTTTCTGCTCCAAATCTGGTTTCTGTGGGCTGTGGGAGGGGTAGGATAAGTGATGAACAGATTGTCAATATTGCTCTTGAGACAGCGACTACTCTGTTCAGTGTGGCTTTTGCGGGGTGATGGGCGGGGGCTGCAATATAGGGCAGAGCAAACGATGAAGAAGATGTCAATATTGCTCTTGTGGAATTCCGAGTACATTGACAAGATGCTGTCCACTGTGGGCTTATTCTGGATACCTCCAGCACAACGAGCGCGAACATCACTTCGTCCATCTCATCCAGCGAACATGGGTCGGTTCAATAATTTCTCGTTCTCTATCCACATATTTAAAGGCAAGCCCTACAAATGTGGACGGCACTGAGAAAAGACAGACCTTACAGAAATTCCTGTGGGAAGGGCTGCACCCTAAGAAAATCCGACTACCCCCGACGATCCTTCCACTGGAATCTGCTGCGGAAGAAGAGCCGTGGATGGAACTCTACGACCAGCACAGTGGGACAGGCCGATCTTCCGATACATCGCTACTGAGGCGGTGTTGGACCATGCCAGCATAAACCGAGATCGGATGGCGGATCTCCTGGAGTGGAGTAATGTCGACGCATCCGCGAGAACAGTTTAGTCCGGCTGTCTGAGCTGTTTGCCTCAGAGTCGTCCAGGGCCGGGGTGGGAACATGGACGTGGCTCTCCAGTCCAGACTCAAGAGCATGACACAGGCCCTCCGCATTAGCGCGACCTTTCCTGGGCTCCTCCGTCTCCTGCGGAAGAACGGCCGGCGGTTGACCGATATCCCTAGCACCCGGGATCGTCTGGATGCGGAGGGGATCACACCAGATAATAAGGAGAGCTGGTTGGCCCTCGGCATCGATGCTGTAATCGAGGGGTCTTCCCGCTGGAAGAAAGTCCGGGAGATCATCGAGAACATGGACAAGGAAGAAGAAAGCGACGCAATACTTTCCACACCTCGCCCCGGTGGCCACTGCGGACCGGCATCCCTGGGTAGCAGCCTTCCAGGACCTGCCGACGGGAGAGGCGTTCGAACACAAGGGCCGGACTGCGCGCGCTTCAGGAATCTACATCAATACAACTGGCACCTCCTCGCGCGGACTGACGCTTACCCGCGTTGCACATGTAATCTTGATGGAAACCGACTGGCGCAGTACGAACCACAAACAGGTGTTTGGCCGGTGCCATCGGATCGGTCAGAGAGCCAAAGTCGTGTTCACATATGTCTTCCAAAATACCCAAATCGAATGCGAGCAACTTGCCCTCAGGACATGGCGGTGAAGAACGTTCTCCATTATTTTGAGAAGGAAGTGCTAGTGTATGAGCATCACAGCAACCACCAGAGAAGTGAACCGGTCCTTAGCAACCTCCAAGTTGGATTGGGGCAGCAGTTCCTTCGTCAGGACCTCCGAGCTTACCTCTTCTCGGAGAGATCCGGCTCCATGCGTGGGTGTTCGGGCCCGACATGGAGTACAGCATGGTCAGTCTTGACGGGCACCCAGAGACCGTCCGACCCGCAGCGGCTTTATTACACCCATACCTGCACAGTTGATACCTATTGCACCACTTCAATTGATATCTTCGGAGTCTATTGGGTGTAGTCCCCTATGATGGAGAGAAACGAACCACACCGGGTGTCATATCTGAGATGTGATACTACCAACGAACCGACTCTCTCTAAGGTCCGTGACCATGCTTAATGTGGTACTCTCAAAGCTGAAGAGAAGGCTCATGTGTGTCATAGACCATAGAAAGGCATGCATGGAACATAACTGAAACGACTGTGTGGGATCATAAACAGACGACTGCTTAGGGCTGTGCGCAAAATAAATACCTCCATGCTATCACCACTGAGACAGAGTTAGAACGGATCGTCATACTCCCACATCCCTAGCCCTGCTGCCCATGTTGATAAGGTAACCCATATACAACAATGAAGCTGAGAGGACCGAGACCGAGACCTGCAAGATCTGGACGAGTATAAAACTCTGTTTCCCTAGCATCAGCACCAGATTGAATCTTTTCCCTCTACGATCAATGATTGCAAACTGCCCTGGAAAATCTACTGCCACTGAATAGACGTGACATTAGCCTTTCACACAATGACGGAACCTCGTGGGCCTCCTGCGCATTAGGGCAGTCTGTGTCTGCATGACCACCAGGTCTACTTATTCTTCTCTCACGGGATGTGGACGAGGTTGATCTCGTCTGGAGGACAGAGCATATTACAGGTATCATCAACCTGGTTCATGCTCAACAAGACTCAGAAAGCCAGAAGTACACATGCGATGCTCGTCGAAAACAACGGAAACTATCAGAAGATGTGACATTTGTCTTCTCAGAGCATCACGTCCATGATGCATATGACAGTGTGTCTGGTCAATTGACCATGGAAGTGGCTTGAAAATGTACACTACAATAATCGGTCGACCACCCGTTGCTACTGGAATTCCAGCAACACGCCCGCCAACAGGGCGCAATCCTTATTGAAGGAAGAAACAGACTCCTCAAGACATTTCACTCTGTGCTTGTTGCTCATGCCCTGCTTCATGGTCAAAATACAAGAGTACTGGTAATGTGGCGGCCAATAATAACAACAACATTGTCTGGCACAACGTCATAACTAGCTCCCAATTATTGAGCTCTCCAGGATAACAATAAACTCTACATATATGGCAACAAGCTATATGAAGCCCGAACACGTGTTTCACGCACATCAGAGTGCCAACTGATATCCCAACTTAACTGGTTGTTCCCGCAACTTTGTCCTGTGCCTCCGCCATCTGCAGCAGACGGCGCGAGTCCCCTTCTCAGAGGTCGCCATCCTGACGCCCTACACCGCGCAGGGTAATGTGTACCGCATATCACTGACCCAGTTGCATCTTAAAGATCTCTCCGCCGGATATAATCTTGTTTTGATCAAGACCATCAACTTCTTCTAAAACAGGGAGGCAAATATAATATTATATAACATAACTGTTACTGACGGACCCGGCTATTAAAAGCACTGCAGCTGTTTTAACACTACTATCAGCTGCGTTCGTACAGCTATATATATTATTATTAATGTGGGAGAGTTGAATAAGACCACTGAGATCCAGCGCGGCATCTTCTCTTTAATGAACCACCAAGCATCTGTGGCCAACCGGTTACTACTCACCCATTATCCGGTAACTTTCTTCAACTAGGTATACCCAGAATACAGGTCAACTTGCATGGCGGACGACTGTGGCATTGCCTGCGGGCCCTGTTGCTCCCACCATTGGCAGAGTAACGACAGTTTATACTGTGCACTTCATGCCCCAGTCTCAGGTAACCGAACCATGAAGATTACCAGCCATTACTGCACTTGCTTGGTGTCTCGCCCTACAACCCGATTAAAAATGCCACAGAAAACGTCCTTATTATGATAGACAACAAGTCACTACTACCATCATGTCAAGCTGTTAATTGTACTCTGGGAAATCCCGAACAAGATGCGGGCATGTCTCACGATCTTCAACCCAGATGCCCATACACCGTTTTGCCTTCTATCAGTCGTTTTCTTTTCCCCCTCAAAAAGACTACGAAGACTTGAAGAAAAATCACTGTCTCCCACAACGCAGACAGCATCTCAGAAGCAAAGGGGGAAAAGCAGAAGACCAAGTAACGTGGCAATCATCATGCCAACAAAACGAACGGATCCCAGGGGGAAAGCGGCCAGAGACCGCAAGAAACCCTACAGAGCCCCTGAGTGACCGGACTACAACAGAACCGGGGAAACCTCCAACGCATTGGAGGTACAGTCGATGGCGCCAGCACCGTGGATATAGATTTTCGTGGAACGAGGTCGTTGAGATGGTGAGGCCACTCCGCAAAGTCAAGTTCGGTGGTCTACTGATGGCTGGGTATGAGTTTTGGTTTATACACTTACTCCCGCTGTACAATGTGGCTCCTAAGCCACTACTACCTTTGCGCCATCCGTCGGTGGTTGATTTTATACCCTCGTGACGGTGTTCCTCTCTCAAATCGACGACTTATGCGGATGATATACTTACTGCGCGTGCATGGGAATGCTAAGGTTGGACAGATGCGCATGATTACCTGGTAGCTAGGTTGGAGAATGCCAACGGATTTTATGTGTCGCCCCAACAAAGTCGGTCAGCCAAAAGAAGGAGATATCGATATCACTTGCCGGAACGCCATTCAAGAAGCATCGAAGAATGTCTCATGGCCCAATCTCGTTGCTGTTGTTCCCATTGAACACCCAGTGTCAGGATAAAGCCGCCAGCAAGTAGACCAAGAAAGTGGACAAGAATCACCACACGTGTCTGCTATGCGAACGGCTTGGACTTGTTTGCACAGAGTGTGGAAGCGGCTACTTTAGGTTCACCGTTCTTCACTATTGTGGCCTAAGATCATCAGAAAGCCCTAGATACCGACTAACTGGGCTGTTGGGTGTGTACAATCACCCTCACTATTGATATGGCACGCTCCGAGTCGGATAAATGTGTGCGGACGATTGATCCCGGCGATAGTTTCCAATCCGATCGTCCTTTTTTACAGTCCACATCAGCTGGAAAAATGCCACCTGCGTGTACCAGTTGATAGGCAGACTGATAGTCTGTATTGCTCTCGCCTGCAATTAGTTTGGCTTCTGTAGCATCTGTCCGGGGGACCTCGAGTTGGGCCACGTAATGCCGCAGACGACGCCTTTAACTATGATGTACTCCTACAGCCACTGCAACTCATGTGCAGCAGCAACCTTGCCAGGTATCACGGTGGACATGGAAGATCAACACCAGAAAGTGTTCACTACGCCGCTTGATGAATACTAGAGAACAAACCCCTGACCAAGCGCAAACAGGCAACGAATCGATTGTGTGCCTGGCTTATTGGTCGATTGTATGAACATCGATATCATTACCAGGAACTAACGCGGTATGGAAATAGGAAAATACTAGCTCAGAGAAATGCGGGATCTAATCCAGGCGTCACTGGGTTCAAGTATCCTTGCTCTTGCGCATTCATGGCTCGTCCCAGCAGAGACACAAATTATCTCTCTCCTGAACGTAAGTGTTGCATCTACAATCTTGAATTCTTTTATATGGGGTGACAGAGCTGTCAGACTACATCTCAAGTACTAGATTGGGTATTCATCATTTTGGAACATATATACATACAATGGCGCTACATCTCTTCTTTAGTGACACAAACATACACACTATATCATCAATCGACATTGCAGTATGATGAACTGGTCTGATCAGTACGAGACTCTCTATCTGGTATCCAAACAATCCAGCTATAACTACCTAACAAGACAACAAGGTAATCCGGGAGATAGTGAGAAACATGTCAGCCAACAGCAAAAAAGACGTGGATCACTACAGGGTATATCCACGAAACTTACCGGGGCTCCCAAGCATACATGTTCCACTCTTCGAAACAGCACTTCGTACTTACTACTTTTTCGATCTGCTACCTGTGGTGTAGAGCGAGAGTCCTTCACCCACCGGCAGCCCATGAGAAACAGGCGAATGTACTTGTCAGCGACATCCATCAGAACCATATATATGTCCACGAAGTCATCGTGGTCGAAGCAAATGCGGTCTCCGAACACAACCCTACATTGACAGAGCGACCATATCAGAAATATCAGAACGTCCAAAAAAGCGACAGATACTGAAGGGAATATGTGCGTAGGAAACTCACAATCCCAAAATAAAGTCAGAGGATACTACCACTTTTCACTGTTCAAACCATGTACGGAATCGCGGCAGCCCTCGTTGTTGACAAACACTGTACTCTTTTCGCCACAAGAGAATAAAAACCACCTAGAAAAGCCACTGATCCCACGGATCCTCTTCTATCGCAGACCAGACATGAATTGACAAACGGACTGAACGGCATGCAGCACTGCCTATCTTCTGTGGCTCCTCGGACCACTGGCTGGCTGGCTGGCTGGCTGCCCATTTCATATAATGGACGGATGAATTTTGGTGCGAAGATACTGTGTATGCGAATATAACCGACCGCTGGTCTCCAGTGCGAATACCCCAGTGGCAGCTTACGACAGACATTGGAAGGTCGCATTCGAATCTTGCAAGTAGGACAGATCCGATCTACGTGGACTGACTAGCTGAGCGATGATGAGATTATTAGCCAGTGTACTCGACCTGGAAGATTGATCACGGCGCATCCTATATGGAATCTATTTCTATCGTCTACCAGAAGAGTTAATTCTCGTGCTTGTTTTCTGGCCTGCTTGTCACAGCATGACCTGACACAGGTAGTGCTAGTATGTAGGAGTTGGTACGAGCTATGGTTAGAAAATCTATAAAAACGTGCTAAGGGTATAAACCCACCTCGGTTGAGCAATTGAGGAAATGCGAGGATCTAGCCACATGTGCTTCATCTTCTCCTAGGCTTTATGCCTGTTTGTTGCCTTTCCTAGCACAGCATCGCCTAACACAGATTGCACAATGTCAACGGCTTGGTTTGTGATACTGCGAGAAGGAGATACAACCGCGCGTTGCCTCGGTTGGGGAATTAGGAACTGGGTACACGATTCTCCGCTTCTTAAAAGTGAATAAAAAGAGGTTATCAGCTAAAACCATGAAGACCAGTCCGGCTTTGACTATAACCGCCCGCGAGCAGTTTATTTCAAGGACACTGGCTGGAACAGTGACCGGATTTCTTCAGTCAAGAGACTCATATTTCGCGATTGTTTTGACACAACAGCAGAGGAACGAGTCTATGGAAAGGCTGGGGAAGGCCCCCTTACGATGGGCAGCGATAAGATCATCCACAATATCTACTTCGGGGACGACAGCGCCGGGAAGGACACAGTCTGAACAGTGAATTGGGTGTGGTATTCAGACACCTCGAAATACATTGCAAAAGCGGCCTAGAAGTTACTGGCTTAAAGAACTATTTCGCTGCTACCAGAGCGCTGTGTCAAAGAGAAGCTGTGAATATCAGCGCTTGAGTTGACGAACAACTATGACCGAGCTTAAGGTAACGGCGAACCGACTACCTGAAGTTTACCGATCTCTACTGGCCGTTGGTGCTGAAGAACGTATTGTTGTACGCTGCATCTAAGCCCAGACTAACCGGTTGCTGCTAATATATAAGTAAGTCAAGATGAGTATTGATGTTATAGCTTCACATTACTGACTCTCTATAGGGCTGGAGCTGCGAGGAATGGCTTCCTCCATAAATAGCCAACTGCTTACAAGGACGAAGAGCTGCTGGCAGTTGTGAGAAAGTGGCAATTGTGCAGATCTGCTTGAAAACTTCGCAGCAAGCGTGAAGAGCTGCTCCAGAGAAAATATTGCAGCTCAGAGACATGGCCATGCTTCACTTAGCTGCTTTTACTGAGCGGTGCAAACCTGGCAATAATGAGTCTAGCCAGTTCATCTATAAGTGCGATTTTGTTAAGTCGACGACACAGAGTTACTAGACGTTGATTTCATCTCGCTCAACATTGTGGTATAGAGCCCCAGCCTTTGTGTCAGAAGGAGACCATTCAGCGGTGGTCATCTCCGTGGTCATACAAACTGCCCATTGGATCTAACACGTCTTTTGATATGGTGATTTTTGATGAAACCTATATTTTGAGAAACCCGACATCGGGGTAGTCGCTGACTGGCTCTTGGTTAAAGGCGCACTTCATTCTGCTGCTGACAGCAACCCCGTTTTTTAATGATATCCGTGACTTTATGGGATATGATAAGCTGCTCCTTCCCTCCAATCCGGAGGTCACCCAGAGAATGAGCGGTCCGCGGATTGCCCAGCTTTTGAACACTGTGCCACAGTCCACAGAACAATCGATCTTGTGCAGCCGTGAGTTTGTGGAGGCTCGGGGGTTCGGTAAGGATATTGATTCCCAAGTACTGCCTTGATGGTGGTGGTTCAACCGGATGGAACGAGATGTGCTACTGTATTGGTATGCTGCTTTATACATCAGTTCATCATCGGACCTGTCGTTCAAGATAATATCTCAACACTAGTTGACGCAGTCCATCTGTGTTGGCGAGGACTCGTTCGAGGGGTGTGACATTGTTTGTTTCTGTGCCTAGCTGATCTTGTACCATTCCCCATCTCGTTCGCAATCTTCGAGAGCCTAGAATAAAAAC